GGAGGTTACTAGAGATTAAACTCAGGGGTATTCTACCACTGAACCACATCCCCAGCCCTGTTTTGTATTTTATTTAGAGATAAGGTCTCACTGAATTGCTTAGTGCCTCGCCATTGCTGAGGCACTCTTATTCTCCTGCCTCAGCCTCCCTAGCCACTGGGATTATAGGCATGAGCCACTTGCCCATCTCTCTCTATTTTTTTTTTTTGATGGTACTGGGGATTTAACCCAGGGCCTTGTACATATGAGCCAGTCACTCTACCTACTAAGCTATATCCCTAGTCCTCTAGTGTCTGTCTGTCTGTCTGTCTGTCTGTCTCTCTCTCTTTTAAAGAGTGGGAAAGTGGAAGGCTTTATTAAAGGATAGCCCAAAAGACTTCTCCCCTGAGGAAGTAGGGGACCCGTGGAATCTGTAGAAAGGGGAGGTGTCTTCCCTTTTTTATATCTAAGGTCTTCTTTTGTCTGCCCACATTCCTGTCCTTTGTGTCACTCTGTCCTGCAGTGATAGAATGCAGATGGGAATACCAAAAGATGGGTGGTGACAGGTGGACCCGTTAGGGCATGAGATGGGGAGCAGTAAACTGGGCAAGAAGCACCTGGGGTAGTTTGATAAGCATCTCCCTGTTTTGGGGAGCTACTTCATTAACAATTTTTAAGGATGGGTCGGAGGCCTTGGGAACATTAATATTTCAATTTCCTCAGGTGGTGTTCTGGTTTCCTGGGCTCAGATTGGACTCCATCTTCTTTATGGACTCCATTCTCTATATGGTCTCCATTTTCTTTATCGTACTCGATATTAAACCTGATTTACCTAACTACACTAACTACCTATCTTTAAATCTGGCTTCATTCCCCCTTCTAATTTTAGGAACTCATTACTGCTGTAATGAAAGGGGACTATGACAGCTCTGGCTTCTTCGAACTGGAAGGGAGTTGGTGTGGAGCAAGCACAGTTTGGAGTCCCTTTTTAAAAAAGTGGTCTGTGATAGAAGTGGTCTGTGATAGAAGTCCAATTGAGAAGTAACAAGCTGGAGGGCCATTTGAGTGATGGGTGGTGGTCTCCATGTAGATCTAGGTGGAACCTCCAATCTGTTACTGCTGTTTATTGGTGACGCGTTCTTGCTTCCCCAAATATTGAAGTATAACACCAGAGAAGCACTCCAAGGCAAGTGTAGAGTGGAAAGTAGAAGGCTTTACTGAAGGATAGGAGAAAAGACTTCTTCCTGGAGGAAGAATTGGGCCCGAAAGGCAGAATCCTCCCATCCCCAGTCTCTTTTTAAATTTTATTTTGAGACAGGGTCTTACTGAATTGCCTAGGCTGTCCTTGAATGTTCTTTCCTCTTGCCCCAGGCTCCCAAGTTGCTAGGATTACAGGTATGTGCCACCACTCCTGGCTTTGGCTTAAACTTTTAAATAAAATTCAAACTCTTCTACCTGGTCTTGTAAGTTTCTTCTATTCCTCCAGTTCTATAATCACTTGGTTTATTTTATTATTATTTTTTTAGCTATTTGTTTGTTTCTGTAAATAATGTTTTTTGCCTTTTTCTCTACTCCCCCCTCAACTCCATATTTTAGGTCTTAGAATAATTGTCTATTTACTGTCTGTGACCACTCCTCCCTCTTACCCCCAGCCCATTACTTTAACCCAGTAGCAGTCACTCACAAAAGCTCAATAAGGTGAAGGAGTATTTTTTACTTGCTAATAGAAGACCCATAAAAAGAGGTTGAATGAGTGGATGTTTTTATACTTTAAAGTTGTTTCAAAGTCGGAAGTAGCTTCAGTGGAGACTAAAGAGCCTGAAAGAATGATTGAAAAAAATGAGGCCATCATTTCCCAATCTCAGAGTATTTCTCAGAGCATGTGTATCCTATAAGATATTGGATTAAATATATTAGAGAATGATGCAGATTATATTTCTACCTTGGGTCGACTTGGGTAGTTGCAATTAGTAAAGACTTCTAGAATTCCTCTGTACAAAACCTTTTTTGTTTGTTTTAAATCTAGCATTTTCCTAATATATTTTATTATGGAAACTTTTAAAATAGGGTACCTGTAATTCCTTTTAGGTTACTAGTAATATTTTAGATTTGAGAAATGTTAAATTTGGCAGGCTTATGTCCTTTATTTCCCTTGAGTCTAATTAATATGATTTAAACACATAATTAGTTGATGTATCAAGGGATATTCAGAGGAATTCTGGCTATTTATAGTCACAACAGAGAACCTGAGGGAAAATAGAGTAATTTTCAACTATTTGAAGGTTCTGATGGAAGAGGGATTAAAAGTATTATGTTTTAAACAAGAGACTAATAGCCAGAACCAGGGAACAAAGTTTTAGGGCGGCAGTTTTTGACTTAGAATAAGTATATCTTTCTATTTACAAATTTTCAAAAATTGGAAGGTAAGTAAATATTGTATATAAATGTTTTCAGGAAAATATCTGTAGGGATGCTATAAGAGAAGTTTAACATATCAGATATAGGATACATTGGAGTTATTTTTTGTGACAGTTTGAAAACCTTTAAACTCAATTTTCGAGATAGCTATCAAGTTGGAATTTATATTCTTTGATTCCTTTCTAAATCTGTAAATCTATATCTTGCTCTAAAATCTCAGTGAAGAAACCAAGTATGTGGTGTATGAAACAGATTCAAAATTTTAGTTATTTAATTAAGTGTTTTTACTTGATGGCTATTTATTGATTTATTTTATTCATTTAAACATGGGAAATTGAACCCAGGGCCTCATGTGTGCTAGGCAAGTGCTCTGCCGTGGAACTACATCAGTAGACTTTATTGTTTTGGAGCAGTTTCCCATTCACAGAAAAATTAAGCAGGAAGTTCGCAGTATTCACATAAACCTGTTGTCTCCTCATGGGCACAGCCTCCCCTATTCTACATTCCATGCTATAGTGGTAGAGTTTACAATTGATGAACTTATAGTGACTTTCACTGGCACCCAAAGTTTGTAGTTAGAAACAGGTTTCATTCTTACTTGATGGTAGCTTGAAACAAAACATAAACATTCTGTTCATCTTCAAGAAAGTGGTTTTCAGTCAGTTTTTGCTGTCTAGTTTATCCTTTTCAGATTTATCGACCTAAAAAGAATCAGTGTCACCTGTTTTGAAAGAGTTATCATGGTTGGGGAGAGTTCTTTTTTTGTTAATCTTAAATGTTTACAAATGTTTTATTTTGCTGCCTAACTATTTTTTTCTCTTCCTTTTAAGTACCAAAAGAATTGGTGGAGCTCCATTTGAAGTTGATGAGGAAGATTGGAAAATCTGTTACAGCAGACAGATGGGAAAAATACTTAATCAAGGTAACTCTGTAAATTCCTTTTTTTTACTAGTGAAATAATGCTCTATCTAGCATAAATTTATGCTTGCATTCCATAATGTTTAATTTTTAAACATTAATAGTTTTCTTTCAAAATTCTGAATTATTGTTATTATAATTGTGATTGTCCTCTTTTACTGCTATAAGTAGTAGTGTTGAATGTTAAAATTGGTTTCAGAGTTACTGTGTCTCTTTTGTGCCTAACCTAGTGCTAAGGAATTTTCATAAATTCTCTCACTCTTTCAAATCCTCTTGATCAAATAAATACACATAAGGCGCAGGGAAGTTGTTGCTTTTGCTTAAAATCACCCAGTATGTATAGGCAGAGCTAAGATTTTTCTGTGACTTGAAAGGTAAAATGTCGAGGCCCATTAGAATAGTATGTCTAGCTTTTAAATTGCTCACCAGCCACATATGTTATTAGTGAGGACAACTCAGGCAATCCAAATGAGCTTTAGGATGGACCCTATCAAAGGGAAGACCAAGTAACATACTAGACTATTAGGCTGTAATTGTAGGTGATTAAAAAATAATTTTCCTGCAGGGTGTTGGCACACCTATAATCCTGACTACTTGGAGGCTGAGACAGGAGGATTGCAAGTTCAAGGCTAGTCTTGGCAATTTAGCAAGATCCTGTCTCAAAACCAAAAAGGGATAGGGGTGTAGCACAATGGAAAAGCACTCCTGGATTTAATCCCTAGCACTTTTTTTTTTTTTTTTTTTGCGGTGGGGATTGAACATAGGAGCATCTTACCACTGAGTTACATCTCCAGTCCTTTTTTATTTTTAATTTTTGATACAGGGTCTTATTAAGTTTCTGAGGTTGGCTTTGAACTTGTCATCCTTCTGCTTCAGGCTTGAGATGCTGGGATCACAGCAATTGCACCTGGCTTCTCCAGCATTTAAAAAATAATTGCTAGGTTTATATATATATATATATATATACATTTTCATATCTGTTCCCTTTTTTGAAAGTATATGCTTGTAGGGTGCTATGAAAATAGGAGCTAACAGGAACAAGAATTTCCTTTTTTAATTGTAAATATTATATGTGCATTTCTAGCTACCTTTGCAGTATAATACGTCTTCTAGATTAAGTGACATAAAACAATAATCTTTCTAATCAGCTCAGTGATCAGGACTCTAAAAGGGTTACTTTTACTTGTGTATTCTATTGGTTGAAGCAGTCACAGCTCTGCCTAGTCAAGGGGAGGGTACATAGGCTTCCAACTCTCTCTCTCTTTTTTAAAAATACCTTTATTGTATTTATTTATTTATTTATTTTTATGTGGTGCTGAGGATTAAACCCGGGGCCTCGCACATGCTAGGCTAGTGCTCTACTGCTGAGCCACAACCCCAGACCCATAGGCTTCCAACTCTAGGATTCTAACTCTAAATGTTAGGAATGTCTGACTTTTGAAACCCAATATAAAATGTATTCCAATTACTTTTTCACAGGTTTGAAGAACTGCAGAATTGACTTAGCATTTCCGAAATTTGATGCTGTGTGATTTTCTAAAAGAGTGATTGTTTAGTTAAAATTAAAAGACTAAATGTTCAGTTAAAAATGTGAAACTGAGATGGGTTAGGTGACTAAAGCCTATAATTCTAGGTAAGCTGAGGCAGGAGAATCTCAGGCTTGAGGCCAGCCTCTGAAACTTAGCAAGACCCTGTCTCAAAATAAAAAATAAAAAGGGCTGGGCTGGGGTTATAGCTCAGTTTGTAGAGTGCTTGCCTGGCACTTGTGAAGCACTGGGTTCAATTATCAGCACCACATTAAAAAAATAATAAAATAAAGATATTGTGAACATCTACTATAAAAATATTTAAAAATAAAATAAAAGGGCCTGGGGATGTGGCTCAGTGGTTAAGCATCCCTGGGTTCAATCCCGAGTACCAAAAAAAAAAAAAAATCTGAATAATAAATGAATACATTTTTAACTATTAAAAGTTGCTTGTTCAAATGCCATTGAAGTGGCTATTTTGATGTTAACAAAATGATTTATAAATGAATCAAGGTTTTGGAGCTTTAAAAGAGAGCTGGGATTAAGGACTTTGGTTTCAACATGTTTAAGAGGACTATAAAGGATGTAATCCCTGTGAAGAAATATTAAATTTTTTTTTTTGTGTGTGGGGGGCTACCAGGGATTAAACTCAGGGGCACTTGACCACTGAGCCACATCTCCAGCCCTATTTTGTATTTTATTTAGAGACAGGGTCTCTTGAATTGCTTAGCACCTTGCTTTTACCCAGTCTGGCTTTGAACTCTGAATCCTTCTGACTCAGCCTCCTGAGCTACTAGAATTACAGGGTATGCTACTGCACCCAGCTAGTAAAGGTTTTCTTTTTCTTTTTTAAAAAATATTTAAAAATTGTAGGTGGCCACAATACGTTTATTTATTTATTTTTTATGTGATACTTCCCCTCCAAACTCTCTGCCCTTTCTAGAGTTTGTCTATTCCTCACATGTTCTTGCTCCCTATCCCACTATGAATCACTCTCCTTTTATCAAAGAAAACATTCAGCATTTGTTTTTTTGGGAATGGCTAACTTCACTTAGCATTATCTTTTCTAACTCCATCCATTTATTTTTTAGTTGTAGTGGGACACAATACCATTTATTTTATCTTATTTATTTATTTTTATGTGGTACTGAGGATGAAATCCAGGGCCTTGCACGTGCGAGGCAAGTGCTCTACTGTTGAGCCACAACTCCAGCCTCAAGTTTTTAATTTTGATGAAGTCTCATTATCTATTTTTTTCTTTCAAAGTTTGTTCTTTGGTTTCGTATCAAAGAAACCCTTGCCTAGCCCAAGGTGAAAGTTTTATTTTTTTCCTTTTAGTAGTGCTGGGAATTGAACCCATAACATCATGCATACTACCACTTATCTAAATTCCCAGCTCCTAGGGTGAACAATTTAACCTTAAATCTTGTCCTAAGACTTTTGTAGTTCAAGCTCTTAAATTTAGATCTATGATCCCATTTGAGGTAATTTTTGTATTTTTTGAGATAGGTGTTCAACTTTATCTTGAATGTGGCTATCTACTTGTGCCAGCCCATTTGTTTAAAAGACTGTTTTCTTCCATTAAATTGCTTTGACATCCTCTTGGGAAAACAGTTGTCCAAAAATGTGATGGTTTGTTTCTGAGATCTCAGTTCTATGCCATTAAATGTCCATATTTTTGCTAAAATATGCTGTTGTTTACTATAGCTTTGTAGTTAGTTTTAACTTGTTTATATTTTGTAAATTATTTTTTTTCTATTATGCACTTTACATTTTCACATGAATTTGAGGATCAGCTTGCCAATTTCTGTAAAAATATCACTTTGGATTTATAGAGATTTAGTTGAATCTGTTGATCACTTTATGCCATATTGCCATTCTAACAATAGTAATTTTTGTGATTTATGAACATAGGCTGTTTGTTGTTCAGTTTAATTAGGTCTTCTTTAGTTGCTTTAAAAACATGCTTTGTAGTTTTCAGATTGGTCTTATACATTTATTGTCTCAGTCTATAAAAGAGTAGTTTTAGGACCTTTAGCTGATGCCAAAATTTAAGGGTGCTGAAGTTTCTTAAATAAAATGGAATATTTGAATATTTGCCTATACCTATACATATCCTTCAGTAAACTTCAAATCATCTGTGGATTACTTATAATACTTTATAGACTGTATGTTGTTACAAGATATTGTTTATGGAGTAACTAACTACAAGAGAATAAAGGTCTGTGCATGTTCAGTAGAGATCATTTATTTTTTTCCAAATATATTTTATTGGCTGTTTTTAGTTTTACATGATAGTAGAATTCATTATGACAAAATTATACAAGCATGGAATGTATCTATTCTAATTAGGACCCCATTCTTGTGGGTATATATGATGGTGGGATTCGTTTGGGTATTTCACATATATATATGGGAAAACTATGTTAGATTCATTTTACTGTCTTTCCTATTCCTATACCCTCTCCCTTCCCTTCATTCCTCTTTGTCTTGTATTGAACTTCTCTTCTTCCTTGTGCTTCATTGTGATTCAGATTCCACATGTCAGAGAGAACATTCAGCCTTTTTGGGAGGGACAGGCATATTTCACATAGCATGATAGTCTTTAGTTTGATCCATTTATTGGTAAATTTCATAATTTCATTCTTCTTTATGGCTTATTAATATTCCATTGTGTATATATACCACATTTTATTAATCCATTCATCTGTAGAAGAGCACCTAGCTTGGCTCCATAGCTTAGCTTCTGTGAATTATGCTGCTATAAACATTAATGTGGCTACATCACTGTAGTATGCTGATTTATTTATTTATTTTAGTTCTTGATAAGTCTTTATTTTATTTATTTATATGTGGTGCTGAGAATCTAACCCAGTGCTTCAACATGCTAGGGAAGTGCTCTACCAGTGAGCCATAAGTATGTAGTATCAGCCATGTATATGCTGATTTAAAATCCCTTGGATATATGTTGAGGAGTGGGATAGCTAGATCAAATGGTGGTTCCATTCTTAATTTTTTGAGGGATCTTTGCAGAATGATTATACCTTTTTGCAGTCCCACCAACAAAGTATGAATGTACTCTTTTTCCCACAATCTCCCCAACATTTATTGTTACTTGTACTCTTGATAATTGCCATTCTGACTGGAGTGAGATGAAATCTCAATGTAGTTTTAATCCATATTTCTCTTAATTGCTACTGACATTGAACATTTTTTCATATATTTGTTGACCATTTTTATTTTCTCTTTTGAAGAAGGTTCTGTTCAGTTTTTTGCCCTTTTTTTTTTTTTTTTCCGGTGGGGGAGTACAGGTGATTGAACTCAGGGGCTCTCAATCATTGAGTCACACCCCAGCCCTATTTTGTATTTTTTTTAGAGACAAGGCCTCACTGAGTTGCTTAGTGCCTCGCTTTGGGCTGAGGCTGGTTTTGAACCCCTTTAAAATTTTTTTTAGGGTCTGGGGTTGTGGGTCTGAGGT